TCATGAAGGATATTGATATATAGTTTTCTTGTACTGTCTGGTTTTGGTATCAGGGTGATGGTGGTCTTGTTAAGTGAGCTAGAAAGTGTTCCCTCTTCTTCTACTTTGTGGAAAAGATTATGTAAATAATTGATATTATTTTTTTCTTTAAATGTTTGATGGAATTCTCCCGTGGAACCATTGGTGCCTGGGGATTTCTTTTTCTGAAAGCTTTTAACTATGAATTTATTTTCTTTAGTAGGTAATCTCATTGTTTTCTTCTTTTTATTATTTTTATTGTTTCCTTCTTTCTACTTTAGGTTTATTTTCCTCTGTTTTTCTAGCTTCTTAAGGTAGAAGCTTTGATTATTATGAGATCATTCTTCTTTTTAATATAAGCATTTAATGCTGTGAAATCTACATTCCACAGATTTTGATGTTGTATTTTCATTTTTATTGAGTTCAGGTATTTTCTGATTTCCCTCTAGGCTTCTTTTCCGAACCATTGATTATTTAGAAATGTGTTGTTTTATATTTAAGTGTTTGGAGATTTTCGTGTTATCTTTCTGTGATTTATTTCTAGTTTAATTCCATTGTGGTCACAGAACTTTCTTTGTGTAATCTCAGTTAAACTTGTGAAGATTTGTTTTATGACCCAGGCATGGTCTGCTTTGGCAAGTGTTCCATATACGGTTGAAAAGAGTATGTGTTCTGTTGTTGGGTGGAGTGTTCTATGATGTCATTTACGTCCCTTTGGTTGATGGTGGTATTCAGTTCTATATCCCTGTTCATTTTATATCCACTAGATCTACTGATTGTTAAGAGTGTTGAGGTCTCGAGGGATAATTGTGAATTTTCCTATTTTCCTTTTTAGTTCTGTCAGTTTTTTGCTTACAAGTATTTAAAGCTCTTTTGTTAGGTACATGTTTCGGAGTCTTATGTCTTCTAGGCAAATTGACCTTTTGCCGTTATATAGCACCCCTTTTTATCCTTTGCAGTTTTCTTTACTCTGAAGTCTACTTGGACATTAATAAAGCCACTCCACCTTTCTTGATTAGTGCTTGCGTGGTATGTCTTTCCATCCTTTTATTTTT